GCTCGCGCGGCCGCATTCTGGACCAGCTGAAGCTTCTGGATACTCTTCAAGGGGAGCCCCATGTAGAGTGCATTGCAATAGTCTATCTGGGAGATAGCTTACATTTAAGACTATTCAAAGAAATCGTCTTTGAAAAGATGACTTCTTGAGCAGATCACACCTAACTTGAAAAAGTTATTCACAGGGAGTAGTTATGTAGAGACCTGTGAGGAAGGAAAGGGGGGTAGGGAGGTAGAAGCAGAAACAGGGCAGAAACAAATATTGGTGCATTTCCTTAGAATTCACTTCCATGTGGCATGAATAAGAAATTAATGTTTACTGCAAGGCAATACATAAAAAAAATTGGCTGAAGAATCTCTCTGTATCACTCTGGAATCCCCAAAAAGAACTTAAAATACACTTTGTAAACTGGTGTGTCCGTGTGTGTGTGTGTGTCTGTGTGTAGCAGCTTGTATCCCGGAACAGTCAGTGCCTATGGAATGTGTTGTTCCATAAATAAATAAGAGCAAATAAAGGAATTGTTCCCCCCAACTCCAGAATTTATAGAGGAGAATAATTTATTTGGCTGGGGAAAAGAAGCAGCTTAACATTTATCTGTTGAAGGCGTTTACCACTGACTGTTTTGATCCGTGAATGTAAAATATTGTTACCCTGAATCATCAACTGAGAGGCCTGACTTTTACTCCATTTAGATTTAAGATTTTCTGATTACACAAAATGTTCCATGAATATTACCCCAAAGACATATAGCACTGTGGTAGAAGAATGACCAGAAAAACATGTTAAGTAATTTATCATTTAGTGTAGTAGAACTCTTTGTATAGGAAAACTCTGCAATTTTCTGTATTAAACTATAGCACCCGTCTGAGATTATTTTTCTATTTGGAAATCCTGCTTTTTCTGGCTTCTTGACACCTGTATATACTGCATTTTCACATGAAAAAAGTTTGGAAAAGCCATGACTCATAAGAAGATATTTCCATATCATGGTTAGTATTACTAAGTTTAACTTTTAAGTGCACTCCCATTACATGTAAGATTGTCATATGCAACATTTGTTTTAGCATATGAGATCTCATGTTTTAGGAGCTTGTGGAAATGGCAAAGCTGACCAGTTTGGTCAGGGGGAAAATGGTAAAGACTTTTTTAAAAGACTGGAAACCTTATATGGAATTTTTGCTGAAAGAAGAAAAGACAGAACTGATGATTTATGGATTTGGGGATTAGAAAGAGTTAAAGAAGGAGGGGAAAGTATAAGATGGCAATTACAGGTAGTCCTTGACTTACAACCATTCATTCAGCAACTGTTTGAAGTTATGATGGCACTGAAAAAAGTGACTTATGACTGGTCCTCTGACTTACGACCATTGCAGTGTCCCTGCACTCACATGATCAAAATTTGGGCACTTGGTCACTGACATGTATTTACAATGTTTGCAGCATCCCAGGGTCATGTGATTGCCATTTGCAATCTTCCCAGGGGGCTTCTAACAAGCAAAGTCAATGGGGGAAGCCAGATTCGCTTATTGACTGTGTGATTTGCTTAACGACCAAGGCAAAAAAAGTCATAAAATCAGGAGTAACTCACTTAACAACCACATCACTTAGCGACAGAAGTTCTGGACCCAATTGTGGTTGTAAGTCAAGGACTACCTGTACTCAATAGAAAGAAGGGCAGAAGTCAAAATTCTATGTTTTCTTTCTTTTTTTTTCATTTCTTTTCTTTTTTCTTATTTCCTATCTTTTTTCTTATTTTTCTTTTCATTTTTTATACTTTTATTGTATTGTGAAATTCTAATAAAATATTTTTTTAAAAAGAGAAGATCTCATGTTTTAAGGACACATTCTGTATTCTATTATCTTTCCCATAAATTATTAGTTTTGACCTAGGCTCTTTTTGATGCCCAGGCCATCAGTGGTGGTCACCTGCATGATACTTGGAGCATAACAATAGCTATTATATACTTTATTTTACTTTATTTATTCATTAGATTTATATCCCGCCTTTCCTCCAGGAACTCAAGAAGGCACACCTCCAACGACCCTGTGAGGTAGGTCTGGCTGAGAGATAGTGTTGAGCTAAAAGACATGCAGTAAGTTTTCATGGCTGAGGATGGACTTGAACCTGTGTCTCCTTAGTCAAAGCCCAATCCGTTAACCATTACACTACAGATAAGCTTCTTAGCACTGATGTGCTTTGCATTCAGTGGCAGCATATAAGGGTGATCCATCTGGTTTACCATATAGGAACGACGAACATGCCTGTTTCAAGATTCCTACCACCTGAACCACTGATGAAGAATGTGAAAGGCAGAAGCAGTTCTGTCTAGTATTCTCACTATTTGGTATATGATCTCAAATATCTGGATTAGAACTTCTTTTCTAGTAGACTCAACTCTCTTTACTATATATTGTCTGTGTTAAACATGATGTAGGTATATTTTTATACAAACCTTTTTTACTATACAGGCGTCCTTGCTTAATGACCGTTTGTTTAGTGACTGTTTGAAGTGACGATGGTGCTAAAAAAAGTGACTTATAACTGGTGCCCAAAGTTACAACTGTTGCATAGCCCCTGCAGTCACATGATCACAATCTGGGCGCTTGGCAACCAGCTTGCACTTACAACGGTTGCAGCATCCCAGGGTCATGTGATTGCCATTTGCGACCTTCCCAGCTGGCTTCTGGCAAGCAATCAATGGGGAACCATGCAATTCACTTAACAACCACATGATTCACTTAGCAACTGCCACAAAAAAGGTCATAAAATTGGGTCTGGTCATGTGATGATTCTTAATGACTGCATCGTTTAGCAACCTAAATTCCGGTCCTAATTATGGTTGTTAAGCGAAGACTACCTGTACATTTGAGACATTTTTCTCTCTCACACATGTTTTCTCATTGGTTCAAACATTATATATTCGTCATTCTGGTTTATGACTTATTTAATATTTTTGTATCATGCTCTTTCTTCAAAACTAGACAAAGCCTGGGGTAATCCGACCAACTACAGTAAAAGCAAAAATAATAGTAAAAGAAGAAGAGTCTGTTCAGCCAAACCCATTCAAAAAATATTTGGAAGAAAGAAGTGATCTTCAGACAGAACAGGTAAAGTTTTCCCCATCCTATCCTAATTCTGCATCATTTATCAGGATTTCCTTTCTGTACGGAACTTCATAGATGATGTTGGTCTAGGGCTTCTCTTAGTCAATGGAAAAAAAAGGCAGTGGGCATTTAATAGAGGTGCAAATAACTTAATAGCATAGTTGGTGTTTTTTTCTTAATGTTTGTTCCTCGTGGTTGCAGGGTTCACTTGCTTTGCACTGCACCCGCCTAGTTCTCACAGCAATGCTATCAGGGCATGATGTAATGAGGGGTTTTGTTTATCAGCCGGCTTGTCACAGAGCCTGATGCTGATTTGGACTGCAAGGGAGTGACTGTCCCAAGATCACCCAGGCAGCTTCTGTGCCTAAGGGAGGGCTAGAATACGGTTCTCCCCATTCCTAGTCCAGCACTTTATCCACTACCCATGCTGAATAATCTACGAGCATGATTTTGGAAAAAAGGAATTAAAAACACATGTCACAAGATATTCCTCTTTCTGTTCTGTGGCTCTCCAATTCCTACTCCCCAGTATCATCTAGCAAGAATGAGGAGGCCTGTATGAGCAGAAAACAAATGGTTTCCTTCTTCCTCTTGACCTCCCAAACGGATCCAGAGGTCCTCTGACCATTTGGTCTGGTTTTCTGAAAGATCAGCAGGCCAAACCCCCAGACTCTGTGATAATTATTTATCAGAATAGTCAACCTCACAGGGTTACCATGTGGATTATATGCAAAGATGTTCACACAGGGTTAGGGTTGCAAAAAAGAGGAAAAGATGTAAGTGCAACAAGTAAATTAAGAAATAAATCCAGCAGTGTTGTTAAATAGAGGACTGAACCAAAGGTTCTTTTTAAAAGATATCAATCTATACCTGGAGATGAAAAGTACTTTTGGATGCTAGAGCATGCATGGTTTATAAAGGTAACAATATCCAGAATAATTACAGCCAAACATAAATACCCCTAGAGTTTGTCGTAGCCAAAATTACATAGAATGCAATGGGACATTAAAGAATAACAATTGATTATGATTTAAGATTTCATTCACTTCTTTATCAGATGCATAAAGTGTCCTGGAAAGCTGATGAAATAAGTAGATACTCGCTAAAAATATCCAGAACCGCTGTTTGAGATAGGCTTAATCTCGCAGTACTAGCTGAATCCCACTGAATCAGTATGTTAAAAACTCTGACCTGTGCTGCTCTGAAAAAAAAGCGAAGAGATTAAATCTTTGCCTGTCAGAGATGTGTTGAACCCCAACTTCCCGAAGGAGAATTTCTCTGCCCCTAACTCTCAACTAGAAATTAAGCAGCTTTAGGAACTTGTTTCCTCTCTTCTTCTCACAAGCAGTACCCAGGATCAACTGCCAGCTCTTCTAAAAACACAAAATGGCACATTTTGGCTTCTCTATCTGCAGAGATCAGAGGACTGTTCTTTCCAGCTTCTACATGTGGGCCAAGACAGATTTATTGTAAACTGGCGTTTAGGATTACCAGTTGTAAACCACATTGTGATCTATTCAGTTGAAAATGTAAATCTTCCAAGTAAATAAGAGAGAAAGAGTCTCATGAGAGAGTCAGTTATTTCTGAGACAACTTGAAGACAAAATTATAGACAGATTTGTATTTGTATGCTGTCTTAAATAGTTCACAGGTTGTAGGTGCCTGAAGATACTGACCCTTCTAGGACCGCATCACTGAACTTCATAAAGATCCATAGTAGCGTTACTCTTTGTCAAGGTCTTCTCTACCACCATAGCATTTGTGATTTCCCACTGTATATATAAAATCACCATATTAGGAATTTTTACCTTCCCATATTTCAGGGAATGAGAAAGAAAGAAAGAAAGAAAGAAAGAAAGAAAGAAAGAAAGAAAGAAAGAAAGGAAGAAAGAAAGAAAGGAAGAAAGAAAGAAAGGAAGAAAGAAAGAAAGGAAGAAAGAAAGAAAGGAAGAAAGAAAGAAAGGAAGAAAGAAAGAAAGGAAGAAAGAAAGAAAGGAAGAAAGAAAGAAAGGAAGAAAGAAAGAAAGGAAGAAAGAAAGAAAGGAAGAAAGAAAGAAAGGAAGAAAGAAAGAAAGGAAGAAAGAAAGAAAGGAAGAAAGAAAGAAAGGAAGAAAGAAAGAAAGGAAGAAAGAAAGAAAGGAAGAAAGAAAGAAAGAGAAAGAAAGAAAGAAGGAAAGAAGGAACGAAGGAAGGAAGGAAGGAAGGAAGGAAGGAAGGAAGGAAGAGGGAGGGAGGGAGGGAGGATTCTACTTCTGGGAAACATTGTTAAACATAACAGAATAGGAAATTTTACTATAGAAATGGTATTTCTACTGGCTACCTGAGCGTATGTACCGATAATTGTCAGCCTATTACAGTAACAAAGCTAGCTTCAGTGCCAAGACCAATGTTGAAACGCATAGGCCAAAAAACCGAAACATACTTGTATCTGACCAGTTCATGCAATACAAGTGTACCTTACTCTCTCCTGAGCTCATCCTCTCTAGTTTCAGGAGCCTGAAATATCCTAACCTTTACAACTTATATAGGAAATCTGATAGTGACTTTTTGTCACACATTTTTGTCACCATCTCATCGTTATTTTGGATTAGCTTGCAGCATTTTTAGGAAGGATTGCGTCTCTTCAGCCTAATTGAAATAGCCAGGTTTTATCTCAATTACTCAATTCAGTAACTTACTTTTTGCTTCTTGCCTGTTGTAATGCCTGGGTTAGCCAGCCAAAGAGTGCGCTGTATTCTTTTCTACCACTAGAGAGCAAGATTTGCTGAGCAAAATGATGATTATAGCATATCTAAGCCAGCTGAATACAGACAGACATTTTTAGAAGCTTTTGAAATCTTGGTTTAAAGATTAATTTTTGAAGATTCTCCAAGGAATTATCTCATTATAAATTAGCCTTGTAAAATTATAATCTATATACTACTAAAACTCTCGTTGTGTTAATCTGTCTGTCTGTACCCTCAAGTTAGCCCAAATGGTGCATTTTTGTGCAACAGTTTTTGAATCAAGGTACCTAAAATCTGCTAACTTAAAGAATGCATAAAAAATCCGGGACCCATTACTCCTGTGGAATTGAAATTTCCACGATGTTCAGACCAGTTTTATTCACAAAACTGTGTCCGTTGCAACATCCCTGCGATCACGTGATTGTGATTTCTGATGCTCCCTGCCAGGTTCCCACAAGAAAAGTCAATGGGGAAGCTGGCAGGAAGTTGGAAACAGTGGGAACGGGAGCAACTTCCATACTCTTCTTAGATGATCATGGGACTGTCCAGCATTGGACTAAATATATATATATATATATATATATATATATATAGTCAGCCTAAAATTTAATGTTCATTCTGGTCACATCAGACTGCACTACCTTTCTCTTAAAGGATGACCCAGTGGGGCAGAGGGTTGTCTAGTCAGTTTTAAAAATCAGTTTTATTTCCATTAAACTCTAACGCAGCCTTTGCCATAGAACTGGCTTGGACCAGTTTCTGTCAGTTAAGAGATAGGTGGCCTTGGGCAAGCCATTTTCGACAAAACTAAAATGTCAAGCTTTGAAAGTTTCCAGTCGGAAGTCTGATTCATGTATTTAGCATTTGAAATGATAAATTATTATAAACAACAATATAAAGATGAGTTTTTCATCTTACTTTGGGGGAATCCTTTTAAAATCACGGTGGCCTTCCTTTTGTGTAAATACAGTATTGTATTATTCTTAAGAAAATTGTGATAAATTATTTTAAAATAATAACAATGTGTAGAGTTTAAATGTTCCCCTGCTTGCCAAATCAAATCCAATTAAATCAGAATGTAACAGTTTGTCTTAAATGTGCAAAGCAAATTAGTCTTTTTATTGTATGTATCTTGTTTAGTTTTTTAAAATTTATGAATTATTTTTAAAAGAAAGGCGCAAACAAACAAGCAAAAGGAGAAAAGAAATAAAATAAAGTGTGGCACAGAAATACAATATCTATAACTGGCAAAGGTATTTTTTATTAGAAATTAACCATAGAAAACATTAAATTACATTTTAGTACATTAAATTGTTTTAACAATGTAAGTCAGAGTATAAATCTCTGAGCTATGTGCCTCCACTATTTGTTTAAAAATACAAAAGAAAAGAAAAAGAAAAAAAGAAAACATTACTAAAAACATTACAGATAAATATGAATTGCTCCTTTATCATGTGCCAATAAGCAAATTAATTTTTGAATAAGAGAAACATTAAACTAGGAAGAGAGAAAAGTCAGGAAGATTGAAGTTCCCACAAATTTTGTTGCTATGATTTTTCCAGTCGCCAGTGATTGGCCTGTCAGGTGATCTGGCTCCTCTTTGGTCTTAAAAGGACTCCGACGGCGTTCTTCTCAAAGGCCAGATTATTATTGCAAAAGATAACTCTCTTGTCCAGTTAAAAAGTCTGGAAGCAAATATTCTCTCCTGTTTAATAGCCTCATTAATCCATTGTGTAAGAATAGCACCGTCAGGGATAGATTCAATAAGAAAGTAAACCGAACGTGAAGCAAAATAAAAACCCAGAAAGAGGCAAGATTAGGTTATCTTCTTGTATGCCTGCTTAGTGTTCCAAAGTATTTGCAGATTTAGCAGGGAGGCCTGCTTAGAGATGTGTCAGTCCCTAGCTGGAGCATGGGCTAAATTTCCATTGTCACCACATTCCTGCCCCTGTACAAATGGTCGTCTTCTAACTTATTCTCCTCCCCAGCAATGCTCTCTGTCTGACTGAAAATAGAATCTGTACATTTCTTCACAGAAGCAGTATTTCCCTTCCTTCACATTCTGCCTCAGGCTTCAGCTGGAGTTCACTGTAGTGAGACTTAAACTTATCCACTCTCAAAATTCACATGATTCCTCCAAACACTGGTCTCAGATGATCTATCTCCTCAGCAGCTGTTGCTTCCTTATATTCTGTATTCTCTCCAAACCAGCTCTTGGCTGACTGCTGAGACACTTTTGGTCCACTATCCTTTTTTTATTTTTATTTATTTTTATTC